AGTCAATAACAACAATAATAACAATCAATTGTTAACTGCACTCAGCATCCCTGCGTAATCAAACAACAATACCAAAAAGAGCAAGACGGAACGTAGGTTTGCATGGGTAGGATTTCCCGGGGAAAAGGAAGTTACTTGGGAGAACGCCGGCAAGATCGAAGAAGTCGCCCCAGGCGTTGTCGAGGAGTATGAGTCAAACTAGGAAAAAGCCATAAAGAAACTATTACATTTGAAAACTCCTTTGACCGGCTATTACCGACTTCTTACGCTGCCAACAGGCAGGTGCGAGGTGTCTGCAGAGTGGCCCACGTCACGCCGACGAGAATATACGCCAAGCTCTTCATCTGTGCCGGCATAGCCTTGTCGTCCAATACCAGCCCAAAAGGCGCGCTCGTCGCTACGAGGACCCCAAGCCCAACCCGCACCAGCGCGAATGGGCAAGTGATAGTATCGGAAAGCAAAGATCGAGGCAGTTAGACCCATCAAGTAGCCGAAGAGAATATCAAAGCCGTGATGACGGCGGTCGTGCCAACGAGAACCGGCGATGAAGATTGAGACACCAAAGGGCAGAAGGCCAAGAGCAAGGAGGTAGATTGGGGGTGCAGCAGCTTGGCGACGCAGAGACTGGACCTTGGCGTCGTCTTGTCCCGCGCGTTCTTTTGTAGGAGTGGAAGAAAAGGAGCCATCAAGACCACGGGTGCCTAGGAGCTCATAGGGATCGACAACAGGGCCAATGCGGATTTGGGAGGGGAACGCCGCATGGCTGGCCGCTCCTGCGGCGGAAGCAGCGGGCGGCAGGATGAAAGGAAGAGTAATGGCAAACTTGCTCGCCATAAAGAGCGAGGCATAGATGAGACCTCCAGCGGCAGCGGACGAGTGGCCACTTGGATATGAGCGGAAACCGTCGTCGATCTTGTACTGGTCTGTCTGCCGGCAGATGTCGGCCGAGACCAGCTGCCCTGTCATGCTCTGCCATTTAAAGCCACCGACGACATACCTGTTGATATTACTCCAGTCGGGATCGCATCGGGATAGGAGATCGGGTCGGGGCTTGCCAAACAGGTTCTTCATAGAACTGGTAAAGAACCACGACAGCGCGAGGGATAGAACGAGGCCTATTACACCGACATGGAGCTCCCAGAGCTTGCGCTGCCAGATTAGAGTCTTTGGTGTCCCCTTGGGTACGGTCATGCCAGGAACAAGGATCAAGGAGACGACGACAACAATGGCAAAGGGGACGCCAACAGCGAGGACGAAGAGGAGGTACGCGGGGACGAGTTCATGTTCGGCGAAGGGATATCTACGAATGATGTTAGCTTGCAGGCATGAACTGGGAGCTGTGAATATCTGACGCACGAGATACTGGTATCAATAAGTGAAAAGGGTCGCTTAGCAGGTGCAATACGATCGAGCCAACCTCCAATACCGACAAAGGCAAAGCAAATGATCCAGTCGAAGAGGTAGGATACAATGAGTCGGACAGGAAAGCGACGACCTAGCAAATCACTAGATAAGGTTCCTAAACTTGAGCCGCTCATCTTGTAATAGGAATGCATATTCTATCCAGAGAAGGAAGAAGAAGATCAAGTATGGAATCGAGGGAAGGGAGTTTATTTGAGGCCTGGGGCTTTTCGCACACACTCAATAAGTTGCTGGGGTCCGTTTTTCTGCGTGCACCTGAGCGTAGGAGAGTTTACGCCTACTACATACGTCTGTGTTGGATCCTGGGAGAGAGTGTGTGGGTGTGTAGAGGGACAGATGTGAATGGCAGAGCGTGAGCAGACCAAACAACCAGGCCAAGCGAGTAGGTGGGAGCTGTCACAACAGTTCCGACATGCGACAGCGACTCTGGGGGTATTGAGTAAGAAGGGATGTTGTTATGCAACCTCACCCACTGCTTATTCGTATATCTTCTTTAATCGTTCATTCCGTTCTCCACACCGATGTCAGCGGAAGCGAGGTTTTTCCTCTCTCTACTGGGGCTGCGCTGAGTTGATTCGCGGATAGTGTCTACCAGATGATGATCCTTTGGGAACTGACACAAGAAAATGAATGGGGCTGATGGCTCCGGTAATCAGGGGTTATATTTACAGCAGCACCGCTATCCCTTTGAGCTACCAGTAGATATACGGCTACATGCTACAGGATGGCCACGGGGCGAATCCTTAGAATAGAAGAATTATGTTTCAGTTTGGGACCTCTTTTGGGGATCATGCACCACTCAAGGAGTTGGCTTGAGGCTTGTTTTCTGCAAAGCCTCCCAGTACCCAGCCCAAACTATGAAGGATCTTCATCTTGACTGTTCTGTAAGTGTTCAAACATAGGCGGGCCAGCCACCGTTTACCCTGCCTAAACACGGACGTCAGAGCATTAACCACGCGGGGCCGCCCTACCGCATACGGTCATGATGGCCCTCATTCTGCCTCTATCTTTACCTAGTAAAAGTTACGAGATATAAAAATGAGGGGAAATCAACCATGCTAATTCGGTGCCATCCAGGTCCAACATGTCGAGAGTTGCCTAGCCTGCAAGTGGTAACTTGCTATTAGTCATGTTTCGTATCACCTGTGCCACATGCTACCCGCGTCATATTATTAGCTCGTGTATAGGCTCTCGTATTTCACAACAACTATACCGAGTAAGCTAGTTTCATTGGCTGCCTACTCCAACCATTTTTCATTCCACACTAGTCTGTTCACTACCCGTCACATAAGCACTTGCGGAAAGATGCCCCATCTATGTCGTAGTACTCTTATTGCTGCTAATATTATATAAGACCACAGTATCTTCTAACCCTGTTTACCTTCCTGGAGAGTTAGTTCTTTGGTTTAACCATATCCTTCGTAATATTGTCACTCACCATCTGACACATTCACACCCCGATTTTCACCATGCTGGCTAGGTTTTTCTTCGCCCTTACTTCAGCTGCTTTGGCTTTGGCTTCGCCGCCAGTTCATAACTTATACCCAAGTCAAAGTGGCATGCCCACAAAGCCAACCCCCGTCCTTCCAAGCAATGGTGGTGGTGAGTATTAACTCCGCCCCTTGGGCTTACGCAATGATTTCAGATCCACTGACATGCCCTTCAGATTCTGAGCTTCCTGAACCCTCTGAGGGCGTGTCTCTCAAGCATATCGCGCTTGGCTTTGGTATTCAAAACTACACCTGCGCCGATACCGCTGCCGGTCCCACACCCGTCGGTGCTCTAGCTGTCCTTTATGATGTCACTCATCTCTACCCCGGACAAGGCCACTCATCTCTAACCCAGGATGAATGGGCCTCTCTCCCAGGGGACATTCTCGACACCCTCAAAGTCCCTCTGAATCTCAATGAAAAGGGCACCGGAGCCTCTCTCGTCAAACCATTCCGTAAGAAACAGGATCTCAAGATCAGAAGCCTTTCAAAGAAGATCCCTTACCTTGGCCATCACTACTTTAACGCTGCCGGTGTTCCGACTTTTGACCTCGACAAGGCTCGTCAACTGTTGGTTGCAAAGAAGATCGGCGATATCAAAGCTCCTGCTTCTTCCCTCGCTGGGCCTGAAGGCACTGGTGCTGTGAACTGGCTTTTCCTTGGTGATGCTGGCGGTAGCCATGGAATTTCTTATGCCTACCGTGTTCTGACAGCCGGCGGTGCTTCTCACGGATGCAAGGCGAAAGGAGCCGACAGCACTTCCTACACAGCCATGTATTGGTTTTATAATTAAACCAAAACCATCTTCAACGGCTGACGTATCAAAGACTAAATAAGCCGGCAATCATAATTTCTTGATGTGAAACGCCGCAGTGATAGAGTTTGGGAGTTTTTAGTTATTTTGCGATGAGGCAT